AATTATCTTTCACTAAAAGGGTAGGAAAACCCAGATAGGATGGAAAAATACTAGCAGAAAGAAAAAGTATTTAAAACTTAAAATAACAAATTACAAGTTCATTAATAAGGAATGTTTCAAATATAGTGGTCCACTATGGGTTCTAAAATAAAAAAATGGAGGACTTGAATAGAGTTCAGAAGTAAAATCAAAACATTCATGAAAAAAAAACTCTAAAGAAGCCAGTATCATTCATACATTCAGTTATGAACATGGGGTAAGTCATGACTGATTAGAAATATCTGCCACATATAATGAAGAAAGAGCAGCAATATATAATAAAAATTTGTCATTACTGGCTAACATTATTATAATACAGAAATTCGCATTAGCTACACACCTTTTTTTTTTATTATCAGTGCCTGGACACTGTCCCTAAGTTATTTCACTTAAGGTTAGTGCTCTATCACTGAGCCACAGCACCACATTCTGGTTTTTTGGTGGCTAATTATATGTCTCACAGACATTTTTGCCCAGGCTGGCTTCAAACCACAATCCTCAGAGCTCAGCCTCCTAAGTAGCTAGGATTATAGGCATGAATCACCAGCACCTGGCTATATAGCACCTTCTAAAACATTCTTACATAGATAAGTGAGATTATATTGCGCTGAAATTCTCCTTGGTTAGATAGGATAAACATTACTTTCACTTTGTTTAGCAGAAAGAGGTATAATGGACTTGGCCAGAGCCACATAGCTAATTAATGGCCAAATTTCTAGTTCAGCCTGCATTCCATTATTCCTAAACAATCTGCCCTTGATCTTTATAGTTAAAAGTTGTTAGAGGGGCTGGAAAGGTGGCTCAGTGGTAGAGTGCTTGCCTCGCATGCATGAGGCCCTGGGTTCGATTCCTCAGCACCACATAAGCAAAAAGAAAAAAGCCAGAAGTGGTGCTGTGGCTCAAGTGGTAGAGTGCTAGCCTTGAGCTGAAGAGCTGAGGGACAGCGCCCAGGCCCAGAGTTCAGGCCCCACGACTGGACCCTCCACCCCCCCAAAAAAAAGTTGTTAGAAAAGAATGTGTCCGGATGTTTTGTAATTCTATTATGAAAAAAGAAAGAGGAAACTGGTTCAAACTACCCTGTGGACCATGGGAGGATTTTTAAATTTTTATTATTTTCAAATAGTTGTGTAATGGAGTTTCAATTTCACATCTCTTCCATCATTCTCGGCCCCCTCACATATGTCACATCCCCACCAGTCTCCCAAGTTGCCTACTTCCATTTCCACACATATATTTCAGTAAGCTAACTGTATTTGCCCACCAATTCTGTCACCATTCATTGGTCCACCTGCTCTCAGTCATGTTTCAGTATCCTGGTATTCACTTTGTTACACTATCTGTTAATTATTCAAAGGGAAATCCACCCCTGCATATACCATACTTTAATCAGTTTGCTCATGTATATATAGATGCATACACCTTGTATACATTTTCATATATGATTCTATTTTAGGTTTAACTGCCACATTAGAGAAAATATGTATCTTTTGTCTGAGTTTGACTTATTTTACTCACTTTGACTTTTTCCAGATTCATCATTTATCATTCATTATGTAAATGACAAAATATTATTCTTCCTGATGAATAAAATTCCATTATGTGCATCACCCAAATTTTTTTTGATCCACTTGTGTCTAAAGGAATTTGGATTATCATAGACAGTTTTTTTTCCGCACAGTGAAAGCTGCTAACCACTGATACACATAAAGAAGCCTCTCACCTTTTATTCTCTAGAAACTTAAAATACTTTTTTGTTTTCCTGGTGCTGGTACTAGAGTTTGAACTCAGAGCCCTGGGTTCTAGCTTGGCTTTTGTCACTCAAAGCTGGCAGTCTACCACTTGATCTTTCAAGTTCTGGCTTTTTGCTGGTTAGTTGGAGATAAGAGTCTCTCAGATTTGTATGCCTGCTTTGGCTGCATGCAAATCTTGATTCTCAGACTTCAACTTCCTGAGTAGACAGAAATATGTGTGGGCTACCAGCACCTGTTCATTTGTCCATCTTTACAAAGTTTTCCTCTCAGGGGAAAATTTTTTTTACCTGCCCCAAAAGTCCTTCAAGAGAGATTATACTATTGTAGAGGAAACATTAGTTCTAATTAGAAAGACCTACAATCAAATCCTTCCTCACATTTTCCTTGGTGGTCAACTATAGGCCAGTTACTTAGCTTCTTGAGGCCAACTCTAAACTGCAGATAATATCATCCATCACAGAGTGATCATGACATAATACTATCACAACATGTTACAATGCCTGGAATTTCCTTTCAGACCTTTTTATAACAAAACCTTTTCTATGCCTTTTAATCTTAAAATCTTCAGAAATGAAATAGGAGTAGAGGCTGAAATTGTAATTCAGCAATAGAGTGTTTAACTAGCAAAAGCAACAACATGGCACCAGCACCACAGAGAAAGAGAAAGTAAGAGAGAGGAAGAGAGAGATGGAGAAAGAGAAAACAATTGCTTAAAATATGTAAATATAGTTCATATTTTGTTCCTAACTCAAGTCAGACAGAACAAAACCTCGTCTTTTAAGTCTCATAAATAGGCAAGACAATATTTGGCACAGGGTAGGTAAGCAGGGAACACCAACTGGAGTTGACAGTATTACAAAAACTTTAAAATAGAAAGAAGAAGAAAAATGTATGCACTCAAGTTTGTCTTGGAATCACAATTTAACATACTGCTACTATGAATAATTTTGCTATTATTACAAATATAGCTACTAATATCATATACTTAAATATTAGTTACTAACATTTGCCTGATTGAAACAGAAGCAAAAGTTCCTATGATTTTTGAGGATGACTAAATATCTTTCATAAATTATCTTTTCTGCTTCCCATTTTTATGGCCGAGGCAACAGGAGTCTCTGGAGAACAAATAATTATTGCCTAAGGTCACCTAGCCAGTAAATGGAAAAGCTAAAATGACTCAGGTAGTCTGATTTTAGCATCTATAATGTTATCAACTATGCTGTACTAATCCCACTGGGAACAAAAATATTTGTTCTGTTCTTTCAATACCTAAAAAGTTTTTTGAGTTTCCACAGGAAAAAAATTAGGTAAGAAATATAGATTCTATGTAGACAACTATATGAGCATCTGCTCATACTGAAAGGTGCCAGAAAGAGAGAAGCCATGAACTTTTCCATTTTCTTCATTTTCTCAAATATGAATAGATCTCTAAGGTGAAACAAACAGGATCTTCTGTAATTTATGCATCAAGAGATAGAAAGAACCTATCACAGTGGATCTCTCTATTTACAAATAAAGGTATCCTTGAGTCCCAGCTACCTAGAAGGTTGAGGCAGGAGGTCTGTAAGTTTGAGCATAACCTGCAACATAGCTATACTCTTATCCCCAAAAGGGTAGATACATAAAGTAAGTCCTTTTCCTAAACAGTAATAGGGTACAATAGTCTCATTTTTAATCTCATCATTAAATTGTCCTTTGTATAGCCAGGCATTTATTTAAAACAAATACTTCCAAGTAGAGCTGCATGCTAATGTGTCTATAGACAGCTAGAGGGGAATAATTAGATGATATTCATGTGAAACAACTGCTGCAGTAACTGTAAAGCACGGTACACTGCAGAGGGAGTATCTCCTTTAGATATTGCTACTACTGCTCTCTACTCATCTTTCTTTTCTTTTCTATCCCTCCCTCTTTCGTCCTTTCTTTCATAGTACAGGGGGTAAAACCCAGGGCTTTTCATATGCTAGGCAAACACTCTACCACTGAGCCACTTTCAGCTCATCTTTTGGGATAACTGTAGTTGTCACATAGAATTATTTTCTCCAGATGTAACCAGTAAGAGGTTAGGGATACTGAACATTTTAAAAAATCTAGTTCTTTCATTACCACACTGTGACCAGAGGAATCTGCTCCTGTTTCTGTAGTTTATGAGATGTTTTGATTAAACAATGCACCCAAAAAAATAAAAACTGCCTCAATATAATCATTAAGGTTTCAAAAATTAGTTGGGTTCCACTCTAAACTCTAGCACCTGCCATGACACACTCTGTCACTGGTTATCTAGCCAGTACAGCCGAGAGTCCAAAAGCTGCCTGCTATCACCAAAGCAGAGTGGACAGGAAGTATTAATGGCCTTGTTAGACTGGCAATAAACAAGCAGTGTGAAACTTCAATTGGTTTAATGGAAAAATGAAGTTACTTCTCGGCAAGTGGAATTTTCAGAATAAATTGCCTCCACAGATTTCACAGATCTTGGGGCTAAGGCAATAAGACTGTCTAAAGCCTAAAGGTTGATAAAAAGCACTTAAGTGTCAAGCCTGAGTTCCAAGTCTTTACATACAATTCAACAGCTTATAAAGAGGAGACCTATTTTAACCCCAACTCCAAGGAGAGAAAATCCTTGCTTGTAAATCTGGAGATATTTTCACAAACTCTTAGGGACTAGAAAATAATTAAAAGACAGGGGGATCTAGATGTATTCTAATTGAGCTACTCAGTACTGTCTGTAAAAAGACAAAAAACCCCTTTACAGTTACCATCACCAATGTCAATTGCAAACTTTCCCTTAATTTGTCTTCTACCCAAGATCTAAACCATTTGATAACATCATGGCAATATCATGGCAATCATGACCCGGTAAAACCACAGCAAATAAGGTTTTCTGTCTGGAAGACAATTATGTCTTCACAGGTAATTGTTCTCAGAGCTTGGAGCAAAAACTAGAAAATTCCAAGAATGAGCTGAGGTCAAACCTACTTGTAGATAATCAGAGCATGGACTAGAATGCCTCTGTATGTGGAACAGGAGACAAATCTTGAAAAGTCTTCCTTCTGAAAATAAAGCTTGAAAATACTTTCTATATACTTGAAAGGCTTCTAGAAAATGGAAATGACAAAATGTAATGGGCTTCATTCATTTTTCATTATTTAAATGCAAGGCTTATGGTGAACTCTAGGGGCACTAGAGAAGATCACTGAGTCAACTCACCTCGGGCTTCTTGCAGTTTCTTAAGCTCTGCTTCTCGTTCTGTTTTGCTCTGCTTGCTTCGAACCCCAAGGGCACTGATGACCAACCTTCTGGCTAGGGCTGCTGAAGTCTCAGGTCGCTCTTTTGCTGGCTGGAGGAACTCTGAATGGGAGAAGAGGAGGGAGGAATAGGGAGGAAGGAAGTGAAAGCACTCCAGCTCCAAATGATTTAACTCAGTAATTAACATGCAAAATTGACTAACAAGGGCTGCATCAGCAGTAATTAATACAAGCCTTATAGATGATGATCAGAGGAAATTAACATGGCAAAGCACAAACAATCCTGACTTCATTATCTGCATTAACACACTTTCCTTCAGTGACTATTAAAATAGCAAAAACAGGTATACTAGGTAGCAATATCGCAAACTAGCTACTATATATAGTATTTGCAGTTAGTATCACCTGTTCTTCAAGTGGATACTCAGATGGAGTATTTCCAACATGATCTTTTTTCCCTTTCTGTCCTTAAATGAATACTTCTTTGTTGGGTATGATAGCATACATCTGTAATCCCAGCTACTTAGGAAGCATAGTTTGAAAATAGCCCAGGCAAAATTATAGAGACCCTGTTTCATAAAAAGGACTGGGAGTGTGGCTCAAAAAATGATTAGAGTTTGTAATTCAGGTAATAGATCTGTTTTTCTTAACAAAACAGTAAATTTTACCATACATTTGCTGCTGTCAAAAACATATAATGCCAAAGAACAGGTCACTGACTATGGAAAAGACTACCAGCTTACAAGACTACCAGAGAATAAAAAAAATGGATACATAAAATTTACAGTTCTATACATTTAAAAAAATGATTATAGAATGCTTGTCTAGCATGCTTGAGATTCTGGGTTCAATTCTATAAAAAAATAAAAATAAACAAAATCTGTACTTCCCCTAATAGGAAAAGTAAGTCTTTTAGAATCCTGGGTAGGATGCAAGTACTGGAAAGAACAATAATATCATCAATGAGAGAACTGCAGAGATGACAGGCTCACCTGCATAAGCTCTAGCTTTAGCCTTGGCTGCTCTTGTAGCTTGTGACAAGGGCCGGATCTTCACCATGGTATGTTTAATACCCAGAGCATCACGAGCTGCAAGGATGAATAAATATAAGGAAGTGGAAGACATCATAAGAAAATTTAGGGCTAGTTCTTAGAAACTATTTCTAGATGTTATTTTTTATAACAAGAAAAAAATTATCATAAGATATAAAAAATCTGTAAAGAACAAATTGGTAGTGATTATTTTAGATCAAGGATCAATAAACTATGGCTTTAATACCAAATCCAGCCAACCACCTGTTTTCATAAAGAAAACTTAATAGCTGGGTGCTGGTGGCTCATATCTATAATCCTAGCTACTCAGGAGATTGAGCTAGACAGAGAAGGAATGTCTGTGAGACTCTTATTTCCAATTAACCACAAAAGCCAGAAGTGGCACTATGGCTCAAAAGACTGGTGGCCTTAAGCACAAAGAACACCCAGGCCCTGAGTTCAAGCCCCAAGATCAGCACTAAAAATAAGTATTCAATAAAACAGAGTCATATCCATTTGTTTGTAGACTGTGTTCTACCACAGCAGACTTAAAGAGTGACAGACCTTTTGTTCCACTACATCTAAAACTGCTTTTGGCTTTTTACAAAATAAGTTTGTAGACCTGTATTCTATATTGTTCAGATAGAAACTATTCTAATGTCTTTAATTTCTGTGAATACCTCTGCATCAGATCTATTATAAGCCCAATTATATGTGTATGTATATATGGATATGTTCACAGGGTCCAACCAAATATTCAGCATATGTTCTGCAATTTCTCACTGGTAGGTCACTTCAAATTCATTTGTCTCAGAGGGAAAAATAACAACTGTATGATTTAGTTCTACTATCTTCTTGAGACCTGTTAGTGTTTGTGCACTATAAGGCTGTTATCACATTAACACCACAAATTATGTTGGAAGGAGGAAAGTATTTCTCCAAATATCACTGGAACAAAGTGAAAAAGGAAAAAGGAAACACATGCATAACCAAAGTAGCATATTTCAAAAACAAGTATCTATTCTGTGTCATGTATTAGTTGAATAAAATGACACTGACTAGAATAGAAGAAAAATAAAAACAAGCAAGAGGAGAAACAAATGATAAGAATGGAATACTAAAATTCACTGAATGAATACCTGTAATCGGACTGGAGAATACTCCTAGAGCATGTGTATCATCTACCCATTTAATATCAAATCCTTTCTTTCTGTAAAAAAGAAAACAATTTCTTAAAATAAAACTTACTTTAATAAAACATCTTCTAAATAGACACTTCTAAAGCATTTCATAAGACAGAAGAAGCACATTAAGACAGAAGAAGCACTCAATGAGTGCAGAGGTGGAATGGGAATAATGACACAAAAACAGCTTGAAGGACAGAAGAAGCCACTGAAATTTAAAAGCAATAATACTGTCATAAAGATTACCTGGGAGCATTTTATGTTTCCAAACATTTTATAGACATCAACTAATTAATCCTCACAAGTCTCTTGGGAAGGTAAAGTATTTAATGTTCTATTTATAAAAGATGTTCTTACAGTCAGAAAATGAGAAGAGATGAAAAGAGGTAGCAGAGAAGGGATAAAAGAATATAGGAGGAGGAACCAGGCAAGGTCACTTGGACTTAATGCAAATATAAAGCATGTCCTTGAGAGAAAGACAGAGAAAGGGAATTACAATGCAAAATGTCATTCAAATTCTTTTTTTTCTTAACTCAAGTAATGATAGCAACAACTATAAACATAGAGGTTTTCTTAGTCCTTCTTATTTTTGTAGAAGGGAGGTAAGAGAGATAATAGGAAAAACTGTGGCAAGGTCAGAAAACTTCAAAATAAAAGTGGTCACAATAAGAGAAATTAACATACCAGATTAGAAGTAATCAAAAGAATGATCACTTAGTACTAGGCACTATCTTTATTTTGAAACAATCATTACAAGAGATATTAGGTATTACAAAACTGTTCATGGACTCAATTATTCACTAGAAAAGAACATGGGTTAGAAGGCCAGATATAAATGGATCCAAGGTTCTCCCATCTTCAGACACTGAGCAGGTTAAATCACTCTTGAGATTAAGTTTGCTATCCATAAAAATGGGCACCTTTCTCAGAATTGTTGCAAAAATGGTAGGCAGTAAGAACATCTATTACAAGGTCAAGAACATGGTGTTGAGTACTCAGTAGGCATCTTATAAATGAATGGTACTCATTATTTTTAACTGCAATGTTGATCAGGAAAATTATTAATATTGATGAATATAGTGATAAAACAGAAATCTGACTTTTCTGATTCATAGATATTATAGCTTTTATATCATGACCCTTAAAATTATAATTACTATAAGGAAAAACAATGCTAATATCTTCCCACTTTAACAATGAATCAAAAATATTCCTTGTATGGAATAATAAGTTTTGGAGGTTAATCAGAGATTTTCCTGAATATAAGATGAGTTTGACCATGATATAAAGTGACCACAGATTGAAGACCAAAAGATTTTAACAGTAAAAGTCTCTGCTATAATATAGTTTATAACATAGATGGGAAAAGACCTAGAAGGATTCTGAAGAGACTTTTAGACTTTGGGATTTCATAATACTTTTAAATTATCTTTTAGGAATAAGTTTGGCTTTTATCGAAAAACTGTCTGTGGCTTGTTAAGGTTGGGGAGAAACAAAGCAAATAATTCAGAAGAATTAACTATTCTAGAGGAAATTCTAGACATCAACAAAATCATGATTTAAGAATTATGATTATTAATGACAATCTAAGGTAGTTGTGACTGCTTTTAAAGATCTGTTATGAACTGGTCAGAGATTAATATTGGGTCTGAACATAATTGTAATCAAATAACTGACCTATACTACATATTTAGAGTAAGATTTATGGCAGAGATTAACTCTCCTCTAGGATCTATTCACTCTTTCTTATTTCATTCAGGTACAGCATGGCTGCTCTCCTCAAATCAAGTTTAACTGATTAAATAAATATGTAAGTGCTACATAGTTTTTAATCCATTCTATCACTTTATATAAAGACAAGACACTTTTATAAATAACGTTTTATTTTAAAATTATTTGTTTAAATATTATCTAAACAAGTACATAACTGCTACATATTTTTATAAATAAAGCTTTATTTTACAATTATTTACATATTATCTATGGCTGCTTTTGTGAGACACAGCAAGTTGCCTAAAAAAATTTGCTACTTGGCTGTTTAAGAGTTAGGCACTCAAGGCTGGGAAGGTGACTCAGTGGTAGAGCACTTGCCTTGCATGCTTGAGGCCCTGGGTTCGATTCCTCCGCACCACATAAGAAAAAAGCCAGAAGTGGCGCTGTGGCTCAAGTGGTAGAGCACTAGCCTTGAGCTGAAGAGCTGAGGGACAGTGCCCAGGCCCAGAGTTCAAGCCCACGACCGACCAAAAAAAAAAAAAAAAAAGAAATGACAGTGGTGAGACTGTCAGCTGACCTCTCATCACTGAGAAGAAGCCATAAGACAGTAAAATATCTTCCAGTTTCCGAGAGAAAAATAACAGCCAATCTAGAATTCTATACCTAGCAAAAATTTTCAAGCTGAATATCTGGAACTATAGCTCAGTTGTAGATAAAGCACTTATATCTAGTATATACAAAGCCCTGGATTTGATCCTAAATATTGTAAATCAAAAGAATGAAGGACAAAGCTTTACAAAACAAAAGTTTGTAACTAGCAGACTATTACTAAGTTAAATGATAAACCACCATAGGAGGAAAAAGAATAGTCACAATGGCATATAAATTAGGGGAGGAAGAAGAGGGAAATTAAGTTTGAAAGTCCTTGTAGGATTTGAAAGAGGACATGAAATTAGCTTTAGCTATTAATAAATTAAATACACATTTTATAATTTCTGAAGGAACTACTAAAGAATAAAACACATGACCTTTTTTTTTAAATCATGGAATGAGAAAAAAATACCTAATCAATCCAAAAGAAGGCTAGAAAGAAAAGGATAGGAAAAGTAAACACATACAATAAAGACAACAAGCAAATATAAAAATATATATTTAGATGTGAATCCAAATATACTAATATTACAACAAATATAAATGGACTAAAAGCATCATGAAAACAGATTTAGCAATCATCAGAAATAGTAATCTTCTTAAATGATAAAATGAGGTCTAGCAAAGTTACCTGGCATTTTTAAGGAACTTAGAAGTTTGATATATAATATTTGAGTTTAAATTTTTCTTTTATTATTTTAAAATAAACATTATGATTTACTATCCTTAAATAGTCAATTCAGCATGTCAATTCATATGCAAAATACAACCTAAAAAAGCATACAAAGCTAATGCTAAGGTAAACAGTGGGGAATATAAAAACAACAGATAATCTTTCAGTGAACAAACCAAAACTTACAGTCTACCTTCCCCAGCATTGATAACTTACTGGTAACTTGCAAATACTTACTGGTAACTGCAGAAAACCCGGAGAAGGTCTTCTGTACGAAATTCTTGGGGGAAGTCATAAATTTCAATGACATGTGGGAACTCACATTCACTGAGGTCTATATCAGGAAGTTCATTGTTGTAATAATCAAATCTAGGTTCCTGAATGCTTTCTCTGTTCTTCATGTTCCCTGATAACTAGGGTGGGAGAAATACATGTGACTGTTCATATGAAATCAAGGCATTATAAACAATCCCATCCCCTATCTCCACGTTCCTTGTTAACCTTTGTCATTTTGTCTAAACTAATGCTGCTCATGAATACAATGATGACCAAGTATTTACAACCTAGTTTATATTATACATGTGGACCATTTGAAAAGCTGTTGAAAATTCCAGCACATAGGCAATGAACGCATAAATCTTAATTTGTATCTATCAACTAACATGTAAGAAAGTATAGACTTGTAAATTTGTAAGCTCAATGATAAGCACATGATAAGGTTATGTACTTAGAATATATAACATCCTAGGACAAAACCCAGCACAACCAAAGTCAAGTTAAAAAAAAAAAAAAGAAAGGAAAAAGAAAATTAGTGGATTACAAATGGCACTATTAGCTCTCTCATGAGAACTTCATCTTAAAATCATGAAAAGAGTCCAGGACTAGAAACTCAAAAGCACTGATTCTAATACTAACTCTGGCACTTGCAACCCGTAGCTAGGTAATAAAACCTTTCTGAACCTAAATTACTGTATGTATAAAACAAGAGGGCCCAGACTACATTATAGGCTTCGCTAGCAGGTCCAGAGTAGCCTCAATGATAAAAAGAGTTTTTAGTCTTGTGTTAGTAATAAGACTATCTCAGAAATGACATTTTAATCAAAAATACTTGGAAGTTGGGCACCAGTGGCTCATGCTTGTAATCCTAACTACTCAGGAAGCTGAGATCTGAGCATTGCAGTTTGAAATGAGCTTGCAGGAAAGTCCTTGAGACTCTTATCTCCAATAGACTACTCAGAAAATGCTGGAAGTAGCACTAGCCTTGAACACAAAGAGGCCCAAAGCAGCACCCAGGCCCAAAGTTCAAGCCCTAGGACTGACAAAATACACACACACACACACACACACACACCAAAAAAACCCCAAACTATTTGAATTGTACCTATATATGGGGTACTGTGTAATAATTTGATACATGTACAAAATATGTAATGATTAAATCAAAGTAGTCAACATTGCAACTCAAAGATGTTTTCCATGATTCAGAAAATACTATTAGTTTCTGCAATCAAAAACATGAACATAGGGCTGGGAAGGTGGCTCAGTGGTAGAGCGCTTGCCTTGCATGCCTGAGGCCCTGGGTTCGATTCCTCAGCACCACATAAGCAAAACGAAAAAAGCTGGAAGTGGCGCTGTGGCTCAAGTGGTAGAGCACTAGCCTTGAGCTGAAGAGCTGAGGGACAGCGCCCAAGCCCAGAGTTCAGGCCCCACGACCGGACCCCAAAAAAAAAACAAAAAAAAAACATGAACATAAGACCTTACATCATGCAGTGCATTTATCCCTGTACAAATGGAAAAAAATTAAGTTTAATGTTTCTATACCAACATGGCTATTAATTCTTATACAATGCCAACTCAACATAGTAATCTGGCACAGCTGTTTCAAAAAATTCAAATTATATGTGTGGGGGTGTTTGTGTGGGTATATTTATATAAAAGACCAATAACAGCAGTATGTTTTGCATAGCAACAGCAGCAACAGCTTTTTAATTGCAGCAACAGCGTTTCCAGGTTCTGCAGTCACGTGAACAAAACTAAGAGACATTCAACACACTCCATTAATAAAAAGGAAAAAGGGGAAAAACAGATAAAAACCAAAACCTCAGAAAAAATGTGAAGTTCTGTTACTTTTGTGGTACCCGGCACCATTTTTTTTTTTTTAGCTTCAATTTTTTTTTTTTTTTTGCTCAGTCCTGAAGCTTGAACTCAGGGACTGGGCACTGTTCATGAGATTCTTTGGCTCAAGGCTAGCACTCTACCACCTGAGCCACAGCGATACTTCTGGCATTTTCTGTTTATGTGGTACTGAGGAATCGAACCTAGGGCTTCATGCATGCTAGGCAAGCACTCTACCACTAAGCCACATTCCCAGCCAGCCCTCCAATAATTTTTGTAAGAGACAGAGTCTCACTACAGATAGCCTAGGCTGGCCTCAAACTCTTACTCCACCTGCCTCCACTTCCCAAACTGTGAGGAGTTTAAGCATGCATGACCATGCCAGACTTCAAAATTATGTTTTGAGGTTTTTGACTAACAAATGAAACTACAAATGTATGAGGTACCGAGTGATTTTTCTCAATGCGTATATACAGTTAAGCAAATGGTAATGAACATTTCCATCTCCTATTTACTTTGTTTGGAGTCTTCAAGCTCTTCTCTGTTATTATTCACAAAATACACAATAGTTTATTGTGAACTACAGGCAGCCGCTGTGCTGTAGAACATTACAACTTAAAACTCCTTTGTGTTTCAGTACCTGTTATTTGTCCTCCTTCCCAGCTTTCCTTGCATCTAGTAATCACTATTCTACATGAAAAGTGACATTTTTTAAAGGCATTCACATGTGAAAGAGAACATAGAGAACTTATCTTTCTTTGTCTGACTTATTTCACTTAACATAATATTCTCCAGTTCTATCCATTTGGGTGCAAATGATATCGTTCTTTCTTATGGACAAGTAATATTCTATTGTACATATATTTCTTATTTCCTTTACCCATTTATCTGCCGATCATCTCGGCTGATTCCTTATCTTTGTCATTGTGAATAATACAGCAATAAACATGCATATGCAGATATCTCTTAGTTATGCAGATATAATTTCCTTTTGATATACACTCACTAGTGGAACAACTGAATCGTATGGTCCAAAAATGATTTCCAATACTAACATTGCACTTTTAGAAAAGACTGCTTGTAAAGTTCCATCTCTAAGACATGATAAAATTCTAGTTCCTAGTCCTTTATAGTTTAAGAGCTATTAATATAATGATAACTCAGGTCTTGGAAATTTGTAATCAGGCTATCCTTCTAAATACCTTTAATTAAAGTGTTCAATATAATAAACTAAACTATAGTGAGGACTATATAATTACAAAGTATAATAGATTTCTAACTAAAATCAGACAGAAGAGACAAAGAAAGTCACTTCATATTTATATTTGGAATCTATGAAGAGGAAATTATAGTGGTTAACATACCTTTACCAAATAGTGATACACCTAGGTTGAGACTCTAGGCTCAATCATAGTGGAAGGCTTCAATATTCCCCACTCTCACAAATAAATAGGCCATTCAAACGAACAAAAAAATCGAGAAACTTCAGAATTAAAAATACCATAAATGAAAAACAGTATCTACAGAATATTTCATCCAACAGTTGCACAATACACATTCTTCAAGCAGCCCATGAAACTTTCTCCAAAATAAAGCATATTCTAGGGCATAAAACAGACCTTAGCAAATACAAGAAAACTAAAATAACTACTTGTATTCTACCAGACCATACAGAATTAAATTAGAATTCAACAGCAAAGTTACTACAGAAAACATTCAAACACATGGAGACCAAACAACATATTGTTGAATGACAGACAAGTGAGTCTGTTGTTCAACATGAGCAATCAAAAAGTTCCAGAATCAAATGCAAATGAAAACACATCCCACCAGAACCACTGGGATGCAGCAAAGACAGTGCTGAGAGGAAAAATTGTATTACATCATCACCCCCCCCAAACACACACAAAAAGAGAGTTCTCAAATAATGATGTACCTCAAACATCTAGAGAAAGAGGAACAAATCACAGTATTAACAGATGGAAAGAAATAGTAGATTGGGGCAAAAATGAATGACATAGAGACTAAAAAAAATACAAAGAATTAATGAGACAAAAGTTCTTTGAAAAACATATAAGGTTGATAAAACCCCAGCTAATTTGACCAAAAAGAGAGAAAAGATTCACTTAATAAAATGAGAGATGAAAAAGGGACTATCACAACAAATACCAAAGAAATCCAAGGGGTTGTGAGGAATATTTTGAAAAGTTATACTCAAATAAGCTGGAAAACCTAGAAAAAGTGGATAAATTTTTAAATACATGCATGCCACCAACAAAATATAAAACCACTTAAAACATAGCTAAGCCGGGCACTGGTGGCTCACACTTGTAATCCTAGCTACTCAGGAGGCTGAGATTTGAGGATCACGATTCAAAGCCAGCCCAGGCTGTGAAACTCTTATCTCCAATTAACCACCACAAAACTGGAAGTAGCACTGTGGCTCAAGTGGTAGAGCACTTGCTCACCTTGAGCTGAAGAGCTCAGGGACAGCGCCCAGGCCCAGAGTTCAAGTCCCACAACCACAAAACAAAAATAAAACATAGCTAATAATAAACAATGAGAAACAATGAGTCTTCTGACAAAGAAAAGCCCTAGGCCATATGGATTAATGGCCCACTTCCAGCAGACCTTCAAAGAAAACTAACACATCTCACTCTCCAATGCAATAGAGAAGGAACACATGTATTACACCCATTCCAAAATCAAACAGAAGTACAACAAAAAAGAGAATTATAGACCAACCTCTTTGAGAAACACTGATGCAAAAATTGTCAATAAAATCCTTACAAACTAAATTCAGCAACACATCAAAATGATCAATCATAGTCCAGTTGGTTTCATCCTAGGGATGCAAGGATTGTTCAACACATGTGAACTAATAAATAAAATACATCACATAAACAAGACCAAGAACAAAAATCATCCCAATCAATGTAGAATATCCTTACACAAAATTCAACATCCTTCATGATAAAAGCTCTGAAAAACCTAGAAATATAAGGACTGTTATCTGAACTTAATAAAGGATACATGGAAGTGGCGCTGTGGCTCAAGCAGTAGAGTGCTTGCCTTGAGCTGAAGAGCTCAGGGACAGTACCCAAGCCCAGAGTTCAAGCCCCGTGACCGACCAAAAAAAAAAAAAAAAAGAGTAAAGAAATAAAGGATACATATAATAAAACTACACACAACATAAAAGGTGAAAAACTGAAATCACTTCCCTTAAAGACTGAGATAAAGGTATCCGTTCTCCCCACTATTACTTAGTATGGTACTAGAATTCCTAGCTAGAGTAAAAAGACAAAAAAATGGGTTAAAACATGTAAGGAAGTAGTCTAACAAATTATCCCTATTTACAGATGATATGGTTTTATACTTAATAGACCCCACAACAGGATATAAAACTAGCATTCAAAAAACTTAATAGCTCTTCCATATACCAACAATGAATAAGCTAAGAAAAATATCAGGAAAACAATTCCATTCACTATAGCTTTTATAAAAAAAGGCATGTTTTCACTCAGACATGGAAGACAGACCTAAAGACATCATGCCAGGCAATAGTGGCTCATGACTGTAATCCTAGCTACTCAGGAGGCTGAGATCTAAGAATTATGGTTCAAGGCTAGCCTGAGCAGGAAAGTCCATGAGACACTTATCTCCAATAAACTACTCAGAAAAAGCCAGAAATGGTGCTGTGGCTCAAGTGGTAGAGCACTAGCCTTGAACAAAAGCAGCTCAGATACAGTACCTAGGCCCTGAGTTCAAGCCCAAGTCTCACAAAAACAAAAACAAATCCCAAAGCATGTTCATGGATATACACATGTGTAGACACTTATATACGTAAGTTTATATGCACATACATATACATACACACATAGATATATGTGTTATTTTAACTATGAAGTTATGTAAGATGATGAGAGGAAAGAGGGAAAAATAAGATGCAGGGTAAAGGTATGAAATAGTCTGTGAACCCTAAGAAAAACTGCAAAACTAACAGAATTTGGGTTTATTGTAATTTTGCCTAGTGCTTCATTTCTCTGATACTTGTGTGTACTGTGCAGGGCTGTTTGCTCCTAACAAAATTTCTCTTGGAGTATTTATTAATTTTTGCCTATCCCTCTTAGCAAACAAACAAAATATACTTCTTCAATAGCAGACTCAGTCCAATTTGACTCAATCTTGACCCAGCAAGGCATAATCTACAATCTGAAGGATCAACAAAATTCAGTCAGGAGCCCCTTGGAATTTCCTTAATGAGCCTAATAGCTGGCCAATCTAGATTACTGATTAGCCCTTATATTTCCTGTATCAATTTACACCCGAATACCTTGAATGAGTGCTATTCCAACTCCATTTTCCTATGAGTATACTAGGTTAGTAGATTTTTTGTACGCAAAAGACTTCCCAAATGAAAGGCTTTAAAATATAGATACTCCTTCCCCATTTACCTCTATCTTTAAACCCAAGTGAAGACTGGATATGATTAATGAAGGTACCAAATGCCTATCTATCAACAGTATTAGTTCTGTGTGCTGACATCTCACTACCCACCCTCCTATTAATAAATTTGCTGACCAGTACAGGAGGCAGCAGGGACTATGAAAATATTTTTTTCTGGAAACAGTAGTATCTATGACTTTGTACCAAGATCTTTTGCCTTTACCAGTTACTAACTTAAATCTCTGAGTATTCTAAATCAGAGCTTTAGGTGATTATGTGATCTTTGGAAATTCATCAATAGTTGCAGAAGAACAATAGTGACACAATTATATTCTACCTTTTCTGGGCAGTCTTAGAGGTTCAACTACACAAGAAATTCCTTCAAATGCCAATGGCTGCCATGCCTTATTCTACAACGTATCTTCCTACTTATTAGAAGCATTAGACATGCCTCATATGACCAGCCATTAACAACAAATAAACCACCTAGGAAAAACAGCCAAAAACCTTTGGTTGGAAATTTTTCAAAGTAGACAGGCAGTCTGGCTTAGCACTTAATAAGGCATGTTTGAACAATATAAATAATAAACTAAGAGCAAAAGTCATGAACAAGAAATTGGATTTGTGGCATTTTAGAATATTATCATTGTTACATCTTCTAAAATACAAAGCAGAAAAATCAGAAAAATACTTTGGAGTTGGAGTTGCCTGTATTCACACCCACGTCCTTTTTTGTTTGTTTGTTTGTTTGTTTTTTGGTGCTGGTCCTGGAGCTAGAACTTAGGGTCTAGGTCCCTGAGCTTTTTCACTCAAGGCTAGTACCATAGGCCACAGCTCCATTTCTGACTTTTTGGTGGTTGGACATACAGTCTTACAAACTTTCTTGCCCAAGCTGCCTTTGAACCGAAATCCTCAGATCTCAGCCTCCTGAGTTACTAGAATAACAGGCATGAGGTACCAGCACCCAGCCTATCTATAGACCTCTTTTCTTCTTCTTCTTCTTTTTTTTTTGGTCAGTTGTGGGTGCTGTCCCTGCGCTCTACAGCTCGAAGTTGAGCCACAGCGCCACTTCTGGTTTTCTGGTGGTTTACTGGAGATAAGCTTCACAGACTTTCCTGCCCGGGCTGGCTTTGAATCGAGATCCTCAGATCTCAACCTCCTGAGTAGCTAGGATTACAGGCATGAGCACTGGCACTCAGCTCTACCTCTTTTCTTAGAAACAAAAGACTCATCACTTAGTACTCCTCTTTGTTAATAGCTCAAACAAAACCCTTCAGCAAGGAGATGTCTGGTAGAAAAAGTCAAAATATAAATGAAAGAAGAAGACTGAAGTCCTGATTCTGACTTTTCTTTCCTAAAAGTGTGTTCACTAGACTTCAATTTCCTCATTTATAGAATGGGAATTTTACAGGGAAATTATTTTTTCCCTTGCAGGCAAAGGTTATGTGAACCCACAATAAGGAGTGAAAGAAGAACTACCAGTTGGCAATGGTAGTTCTAATTTATAGCAAGGAAACTAACTACTTGATATAATGTAAATATTTAAATTAGGAAAATGAAGACTGAGCTAAGGAATTTGTAAGATGGCTTCATGCTAACATTTTATATTTATGAGCCCTAACTGGCCATAGCCAGCATGTCATTATTCACTTACATTTTCTACATATACTCAATACTCATTTATTCTTCGATTTAAATCAGCAAAAACTCCTTAAAATATAGCCATACATTTTTACCTTTTCCTTCTCTACTTCTTTCCCTCTACTGTGACCAATGGCATTCCAATATCCACCAAAATTAAATGTGTATGAATAACAAGTTATAAATTATTTCCATCTTTCAAGTGGATCATGTACACTATTTCCTATCCATACAGAAAAAACCTTTTGAAGCTCTCCTCTATATGTCCTCATCAAATAGCAAATGATCCACTAAATTCATCTTCAATAGATGCACTAATATCTCTTAGGACTTGACTGTAATAGATACTGCTCAACTTTGTATAGTTTTAACCTTTAAATATCAGATACTTTTCTTAATTATAAGCCTATTAAGTTATTTAAGGAACTCTTAAATTGAATGAAAGTGAATATATGAATGTACATGATGCCTACAAAAATTACTTCCAAAATCTACGTTGCCCAAATTAATAAACTGCCTAAACATCAAGCAATTTCAACTAAACATACCTCTTGTAGAAGTCGTGGATCCACGCAGTCACCATCATCATTAAACATAGACTCCCAGCTCTCCTCACTAGCAGTACTTCCCTGTATGTGAGAAGTTTCATTTGCTTTTAGCTCCACAGATATTTCTATAGATGATTCTCTATCAGGAAATGATACAGTAAATTCTGTATTTTCTAAGTCATCTTGCTCTTTTGTTTGGACCTGTTCAGCAGTTCTTAGTTCATGAGATGCCTCTGTTATATCACCAGTACTATCCAGATCATTGCCCAAGGCATTCTCTGAAAGTACTTTTGCCCCATTTGACACAGTGAGTTCTGAGTCCAAAAAAGTATTACAATTACTATCAGCAATCTTCTTTATAGGTAAGGAAGAAGCACAATCTGACAAGCTCTCTATCAACTTTCCTGTTGACTCTGTAAAACTCTCAGCATAAATATCTAAGCAAGCAGTCAGGTTGCTGACATTTTCAGAGTCATTCTCACTTTTAGGTACATGAAGAGGAGCTGCATCTACATTCATTCCTATAGACTTTGAGAAAGTACTTATATTGCTACATGTCTCATCAGGTAGTCCAATTCCAACTATACAAGGGCTGCCTATAGTTATGTGATCACACACGGTACCTGCAATGCCCATCATACATGCCTCACAAGCACTAGCACTTACTCTTCCAGACCTATTATCTGTATCTGTTTCATGAACAAGGACAGTTGTATCAGAAGGCTCACATTTTCCACGTAACTCATCATCAGTGTTGTCATTATCACTCTCTCTAATCATTGTTGGCTCAATAATGTCATTTGTGATCTCTAATTTGCTGACTACAGTTACTTTATGAGAGATGTGACCCATATTATCAAGAATGAAATCTGCATTTTTCTGACCCAAGATGAGACTTGTACTATTGGATATATCACTTATATTCTCAGCTTTAGAGTCTATACAAGTCTGATCAATGACATCATCTGGACTTCCAGAAACAGAAGCAGCAGTGATGCTCTCAATGGTGAGCTTTAACATTCCATCCAATGTCTGTATGTCTTTTGGTAAGATTTGAGAATCAGAATTTATTTTTACTGGTGCAAGCATAGTATCTGGTGGTGTCAACACAGTAGTACAAACTCTGGGAAACTGAGAGAGAATCTCCACAACTTCAGCATCAGTTTCAATTCTGCTTTCTTCTGAAGTTTCTCCATTTAACTCATGCCTACTGAAATCACAGCATTCCATCTTCTGAAATGGTTTGTTTATAAGCTGAATATCACTGGTTTCTGAAGAAGATTGTGATAGAAGTGTCCCCTCATATCCTGCCACAGCTATATTTTGAACTTCTAAACACTCCATGTCCTTTGGTTTAAAATGTCTTTGTATAGGTACACTAGACATGATCCCACAACTTGGGACTGTTTGCTGAGGTTCTTGGGATAATACAGCTTTGGATTCCATGGTTATTTTCTTAGTACAAAGCCTATCTTTATTCCCTTTTTGAAGGCATGTGTCTCTCCTTAATCTTGATGAAGATTTCTTGCCTTCCCTATAATTATACTCTTTTTTATTTAGATTTACACTCAGTCTTTCAGTCTCCAATTTGTCCACAAAAATCTCCTTTTGAGAAAGACTATCTTCTTTTTGTTCTTTCAGCACAGAGTCAGGAAGATTGCAGTTTTTTTCTTTAGCACCTGTCTTGAGGAGTGCTGCATCCCTTCTAGCTTTGGGGACATAAAGTGCCATGTCAGGCCTTTTGGCTCGAACTCTGCACCTCTCTGCTTCTGGCTGCATGGCACCACTTCAATCTGAAAGGAAAGGAGAATGATTTAATTACTAAAAACTAATTACAATGATTGAACCAAAGATTTCTTTTTTGAAACCAAGAGATTTTTAAGACTAGATAGGCCTACTAATCCATCCTATAGAAATCCTCAAGTTACAAAGCAAAGTAAAATCTGTCATAAAATCTGCCAATAAAATGTACAACTAAGGAAATATTTTTAATTATGAATCTGTATCCAAATATCCTTGTTCAGACTCTCTTAAATTACCTCTGCCTTTCAAATCTCTACTTTTTAAATAAGCTTTAAATTATGCCGAATTAAAGCCAGATTATGCAGACAATGATAGACACCCATCACATACTCATAAAACGTAGTTATGTCTACTGTATTTAGGAGCTTAGGTTTTTACTTTGAAGAGTATATTCAAGGAAGAACCCAGTAGTGATGGATATAAATACATACATATAACTAAAAGTATTTTTAAGAGCAACAAGTATCAGCTACAAAATGTAATAACTAATCAGGGAATGCTTCTGATCTAGAAGAGTGCTTGCCTCTTAACTACAGTTTTATGGAAATAAAAAAGTAATGGAAAAGGTAAAGGTATTTAATTAATCTGATTTGATCATTGCATTTATATGTGTGTGTGTGTGTGTGTGTGTGTATATATATATACATATATATGGTGGAGGGAAGAAAGGAAAGCAAAGGAAAGGAAAGGAAAGGGGAAGGGGAAGGGGAAGGAAAGGAAAGGAACTGAAGTTATTTCATAGTAAGGGATACAACAAACATGGTGTCTATTGATTTAATTAGTAAGCTATCTATCAAAGTATACCTTGATGGATTTCTGAATGAGATGTAGATTACTTAAAGAATCAGTAAGTGGACTTATAATCAATTAATTAATGAAGACAAGGCCAGGGAAGGTGGTTCACATCTGTTATACCAAATTCTGGGGAGGTGGAAACTGGAAGGATTGTGGTTTGATGCTAACCTAAGCTAATGACACTATTTCAACCAATAAATTGGGCATAGTGGCATGCATCTGTCACCTCAGCTACTGGGAGGCATGAAGTAGGATTATGGTCTAGGCAGGCCCATGCATAAACCTGAGACCCTATTTAAAAATAGTAACTAATGCAAAAAGGGCTGAAAAATGTGTGGCTCAAGTGGTAGGCCCACAGCCTTGAGTTCAAACAGGAAAGAGAGAGAGAACTCAAAAATCAGCTGCACGTGGTGATTCATACATGTAATCCCAGCAGTTAAGAGGCTGAAGCAAGAGAATCATGAATTTGAGGCAAGTTTGGGCTACCAATAAGGGGCAGGGCAAGGGAGATCAGGGGGAAGAAAAGGAAAAAATAAGAAAGAAACTCTACTTCTAGATATCTCTAATGTCTACTATCAGGGGCAAGGAGATCTTTTATTAATAATTGACATAAAGTCTAGATGACTGACATACATTAGAGAATATAATTCTACATACATTAGAGAATATAATTCTACTTATAAGAAAAGTGATCTATATTAATTTTAAGCACCTTTCAATCTCTAAATCTTATATTTGTATTCTTCTGTTTTAGAGGTTAATGACCCTTTTATTATTGAATTATACTGTGACGTCTACATCTACAATTAGTCAAGAAGAAATGCATCAAGAACAAGTTTACATTTACTCTAATGAAAAAAACAGTTGTATCTGTACTTCTAACTTGTAACTGACCTATTAAAGACTTAACGTTCCTCTATGATCCATCTCCATAAGCAAGTAAACTAGCACAAAACAAATCAGGCTTTTACATTTTCACAACAGTATGTTAAAGCTGCTTGTCCTACATTTGTGATCTATACACAGATCCCTATCAATCAACAGGATATTAACCCTCCAGAGAGTTAAATGGATTATTTGACAAGGAATTGATTTGATCTAGTATTTGCTAAAGGCTCACTTAGGTTATCTGATTGAGAGAAATTAGCTAATGGATGTGTTAACTATGTAAGCCTCTAGAATAAATTCTCTAAGCTCTATTACTTTTTAATAGAAATGCATCATAATAAGCCATTTATAGTCTCAACTTTTATTTGAAATAATTAAAACCCCATATACAAGTTGCAAAACTAAAAACTGTAGTGTCCACATACCTTTACCTATGTATTAATGTGAATATGTTACATCTTTTATCATTTGCAACATGCATGTTCCTTTCTCTCTTTCTCCTTCCCTCTTCCCTTCCTTCTTCCTCCCTCCCATCCCTTCTATTACATGGACACTGAATTTTTTCCTGAGCCTTTGAGAGTAAATTATAGGTATTATGGCCCTTTGTTCTACATCCTGCAGAGTGTGTATTTCCTATAAATAGAAATATCTCTCATACAACCACTGATAACAATTATCAATGTAAACAAATTTAACATTGATATAATACAATATAAATACAGCTAACATTAAGTAGTCTAATTCTGCCAGCTAATCTAGAAATATTTCCCTTTCCAAAACAAGATCCAATTTAGGGTCAGGCACTACATTAGATTCATGTCTCTTTAGCATCCTAATTTGAAACATTTCCACACCTTTTCACTATCTTTATGACAATGACATTTGGAGTATCTCACCCCTTCATACTTAATAAAGACAGCATACCAAGCTGGGTGCTGATGGCTCACCTTGTAATTCCAGCTACTCAGGAGGCTGAGATCTGAGAATCACAATTCAAAGCCAGCCTGGGCAGGAAAGTCCATGAGACTCTTTCTCTCTAATAAATTACCAAAAAAACTCAGACATGATATAGCTCAGGTGGTAGTGTGCTAGCCTTGAGCAAAATAAGCTCAGTGACAGTGCCTAGGCACTGAGCTCAAACTCCAGGATCAACACACACACACACACACACACACAACACACACACACACCATTCCTCACTATCTCACTAAACTTTATCTACAGAGTATCTCCCTGTGTCATATATTTGCAACTAAACACTACAAGTTGGTGATATGTCCTCAAAGAAACATATAAAGGCATCTTCTCGTCAGTCTCTTAACTTTTGTCATCCAGTTCAAGGTGTATCCAATTTCTCTACAGTCTAATAACTGTATTTTCTCATTGCAAAAAAAAAAAAAACAGTCTGCAGGGTACCACTTTAAAGACAAACTTCCCTCTTGAGTTAGTATTCAGAATGGTAAATCTGATGGTTTTATCTAATCCAGTTTTTATGAGATGGTTGTAAAAGGATGGTTTGCCAATACTAGCAGTCTTCCCACGTTTACCAGTCAGCCTTTGGCATTTTTTCTGAGAACAAAAGCAGGCTATGTATCTTAACGCACAAGATAGTAAGGCTCTTTAAGCTAAATTTTCAATGTTAAAATTTCACATTTCATGATTGGTCAATACAGGAAATGTCCATCTGAAAAACATTTTCTAACTTCTGCAAAATCCAAGTTAAAAGCAACTATTACCTTATCCCCAATGTCCCACTAATAAAAAGAAAAGAGGAATGCTCCCAAAGTTATATGGTTCCTTCACTAAAAACAGCATAATGTGCCCCTTCTGCTCCCTCTTTTCCAGAAAAACAGAAAGCTGAGTTTGATCTTCAAATGCAATGATTAATTCATCCCAGATGTCTGGTAATATTTATTTCACTGTTCCTTTTTAAAGTCATCTCAAATTCCTTCAAGAAAGCTTTAAAAGGCAAGGTACAGTCAATTCACACATGTTAATAAACAGAAATGTGAGGGTATAGGAAGAAAACATCTTTCATTGAAAATATGGCAGCAACATGTTTATTCTAAATCCATTTTCTGGAGTGTTTCTTTAAGTTTTATCCACTTAAATGTGACTAAGTTATAAAATGCTTTATGGAATAAATGTCTCAAGTGAGATACGTATTGGGTTCTGACCACACTACTTTCTTCAAATGATTGGCAAAATGTATGCAATATAAAAACATATAAAGCCAGTCAGTACAATTCCCATATACTGACACACTAATGCATATATCTTGAATGCAAGATTCAACAGGTAGACATAAAATTCAAGATAAGAGACTAAGTAAAAATAAATCTATCTTCATTAAGGGGTTTTTGTGTGTTTGTTTACTTGGTTTGTTGTTGTTTTATCTTGCTCTACATTTTAACCCATGTAATGAGCTTTTAAATTTTAAATGGTTATGGTGTGTGTATGTATTGTCTACTAATGCCGTATAAGGGAATTATAATTTAACATGCCATTTATGTGTTCAGAGCATCTTAATGAGTTGGCCCTTCTATCACTCTCCATCCGCCATGGCTATGGGTTCTATTACACTTTTCCCTTTCCTTTATTATGCCTAATCTTCTTGGTTGCATTCTTTTTTATTCTGCTAGTTTTTACTTTACTCATATTTTTCTTCTACCTTATTTTAAACATTTTTATATTATCTAATTATAATGATTATAGCACTTATAATATTAATGCTAACTTACAATTGCGCTAAATATATTGTGGTTTTATATTTTATGTTTAACGCTATTTTCTTAAGTTCTCAAGGATTTAATTTTTCTACTTACCCTGTGTCTGACTTTTGCTTAAGGCATTTTTGTTGCCTGTTTGTTAAGGCATTTTTGTTGTCTGTTTGTTATTTTAGTAACTTTGGGTAGCGAATGGGGCTTTACAGAATTCCATGCGACAGACAGCAAGTTTCCTCTAGAGAGTTTCTACAATAATATTATAACAACACATTTTCTTTTTGAGGTGTTACGGACCAAGTAGTTAGTATGCATCTGAAACACAAATCCACATGAGAATAAATCATTAGCTACAAATTCTCCAAGAAACTTTTCCCTTCACTCAGAGCCCAAATAAAAACAGAAAAGCTTGTTTTCTTTCTGTGATGCACTGAACTGTTTTTATGGCCTACCCTTTGAGTGAAAGTACAAGTCTTTCCAAGTTAAGGCTTTTGGAAGTGAATTCAGTATCCAAGGCCTCTTTCTCTCCAAGGCCAAGGCCTCCATTCCTATTTCCAATATACCAATGAAATCTAAGTCTCAAG